TTGTGGTAGTAGTAGTAGTAGTAGTAGCAGTAGTAGTAGTAGTAGTAGTAGTAGTAGTAGTAGTACTCGTCGTAGTAGTAGTAGTAGTAGTAGTAGTAGCAGTAGTAGTGGTGGTGGTGGTGGTGGTAGTAGTAGTTTTCGTCGTCGTCCTGGTGGTGGTGGTGGTGGTGGTGATGGTGGTGATAATAACGGTAAAAGTAGTCGTCGTCGTCGCCGTCGTCGTCAACGTCGTCGTCATCTCGTGACGTGGCAGTTCTTCTTCTTGTGGTTGGACATGACGTTGTCTCTACCTAGTGTACAGACAAAAAGCAGATCTACGAGTTGACGGGGCTGCAGGCGTTGTTTGTACCTTGTTCTTGTTCTTGTTATTATTGTTGTTGTTGCGATGGTTGTCGGCTCAAAGTGGTACGAGGCAGCACAGCGTGGATCGGTCATCAGCGGAAGTAGCTGAGGAAGCTTACTAGTTCAGACATGTTCCGGTCACAAGGTCAGTCTCACGTCCAGTGAGTGCTTGGTGAGCCCGCCATGTGTGGAGCCCGCTCGCGCAGCGTTCAATTGAGTTCAAATTGTTTTAGTTGTAGTGGTGGTAGTAGTAGTAGTAGTAGCAGTAGCAGTAGCACTCGTAGTAGTCGTAGTAGTAGTAGTAGTAGTAGTAGTAGTAGTTCTTATAGTAGTAGTAGTAGTAGTAGTAGTAGTAGTAGTAGTAGTAGTAGTAGTAGTTCTTATTTGTGCTCGTGGTCGTTGTCATGGTCTTGTTCGTTGTGCTTTTGTGACTGTAGCGATTATGAAGCGCATGCGCACGAGAAGTGGTGGCACGCCCCCACCATTCTGCAGGTATGAATGGGAGAAGCATGCGTGCATATACTTGCTGAGCACATCAAGATACCTTCCCGGCCTTGGTTCAGGTGATTGGCATTCGGTTTCACTTTCATGGATTCCATGCTTGCAATGATGTTTCTTCTTGCGGGAGGCGAGCGGGCTGCGACTGGATGCCGTCGGGCCGCATGGCCTTCCCGCAAAGTCTTTGTGATGTTAGTCGGGCTGTTGGAGAGGCCACTTGCCACGGGATGCCACGGGATCCGGCGCGCTTTCTATCTGAGGTACTGCTCTGCTCTCTCTGCTAGTGCTGATGCCACAGTCTGGGCCCACTCTCTGAAGCTGTTTTGGGATAGCTGGACGAGGACTCATGAATGCATCGGCCCCAACATGCAATCCTGGGAGGAAGTCTCTGCGGAGTAGGGCCCCAGGTGTCTTTTGACTTTCATTGGGCCGTGGTTTCGTGTGGCCTCGTAGCACACCGGCTTGCAAACGATTCTCCGATGAAGGACAATTGCACCGGACGATGCGCTGATCGGCGCTGCCTTGCTGGCGGGAGCATCTCTTTGAGCCTCTCTTTTGCATCGCTGGCAAAGATCGCGCTGATTTCCAGGCATGCCCTATACCGCTCTTGGGCGCTCTCCGCGCTTCTTTGCGCCGCTTTGGTCTCGTCGCCACGTCGGCCTCGGCATCGGTGGCTGCCGTCGTGGCGAGGACAGACTGCGACCCGGGCGAACAAACAGATTCTGCCTTCCTGCCAATTGCCAGCGGGAATGACTAGCCACTTTGGCTTTAAGCCGGAATGAGGCGTATGTAGTCCTTCCTCAGCCTGTAGTCACCGGAACGCGGTGTCAGGTGAGGCTGCGATGGAGCTGGCGGCACACGGCTCCGAAGGCCAGCAGACGAGAGCATTTTGTGGCAAAGGTGCGATCCTTGTGTGTCGCTTGCTGCCTCAGTTCCTAGTTTGCAATTGTTATGAGCATATGAGGAGCCATGGGAACTACGGTCGCAGAAGTCTGTGAGAGTTGAGGCAGTTGGGGGTCCTCGAGGTCATGAATCGAAGCGGTGTTTGTAGGATCAGAGATCTAAATGCCTGATTTCGGCAGTGTTTTCCACCGCTTAAGTGCATTAGAGGCCGGCTGACACGATCAAGTGCTGCAAATCGCCAAATCTCCCGAACTTGCTGCCTACCTTGTCACACGTGGCCAGGCAGAGAATGCGAAACATTGCGTGAACCGTGATCAGTAGAGATTTGTTGGAGCTGCTGTGTGTCCTGAGACGGCAGAGCCAACTGAGGCCCGCTGGACGAGGAGTGCTCAGGGCAGAGATCCTTTGAACGGGAGGGTTCTTCGATCAAACGTTACGATTATGATTATGATTATGATTATTATTATTAGCATCATTATTACTCGTTTTATTGTTACCATTGCCGTTAAGTTCGTTAGTAGGATTATTGTTGTTAGTATGATTATGGCTCTGGAGGAGCTACTTGGAAGCCTCCTCACCACGGCCACCAAGGCCACGAGGCAAGAGCACTCGGCAGAGTTGGAAGGTTCGTAGCTTATTGGATCCTTGGGTTTGGCAATAGGGATGTTCAGAGCAGTTTCTGGATTTCTGGAGTGCTCTTGCGAAACCCACCCCTGCTACCTTATTTTCAGTCCAATCCCCATTTTCCGCCTCTCCTGCTCCTCCTTCGTATCCTGCTTGCGTCCATCGATCTTCACAATCGTACCCCCCATCGCATACCGTCGAAGCGAGCACCCAGTCCCGGAGGTGGGCCTCCGCCCTGGCGGCGCTCCGCCTGCCGCAGTCGGCCGGACTTTTGGGGAGGCCACGTCTCCGATTTTCGGGGTGCCCCGCTAAGCCCACCGGAAGCATCGGAGATCCCAAAAGTGAACACAGAACTGCCCGTGTTGCCCCGGAGGCCGGGACCGGTGGCCACAGCTGCGTCCAAGGTGCGGCATGGGGCTTTGAGGCTTCTTGTGCCCGGAAAGCCACTTCATCCCAACAAAAGGCCACCCGGCCCTCACAGTTGGTCCATGCTCCGGACTTGGAAGAGTGATATCTCGCACATTGTGAGTGCTTGTCCGCCAAGCAAGCAGCTGCACACCACTCTGGGCGGACACGCCTAAAGAATAGGCCTTAATACTTACCTATACTATTTTGGGGGCTCCTTATTATAGTTATAGTATAATGGACCCCAAACCCTATTCTAATTATTAAGTATACAAAATACCCTTGCGTCCCTAGCCTGCAGGTCTTTGCCGACGCGGCCTGCTGGGCCGAAGCTATGCGCCTTGCACGGCAGCTGGCAGCTGCAGGCTGGAAAGCATTTCTTCTGTGTTTCCAAGATCCGTCACGTCCCACGTGGTAGTTCTGATGGTTTTGGTGCTGATGCGACATTAAAAAGCAAGAGATGGCATTGCGGGTCCGAGCCCGCGAACTCGAGCTTTGATACTAGTCACCGTTTTGCACCTTGCAAGGTTCTGGCGACATGTCCGAGGCCTAAGGGGCTGCGCGTCCACGTGATTCCCCTCCAGCACTTGAGCTTGTGTCCAGGTTTGTGCCAATGCCCTGAAAGCGTTGGACCAGGTGCACTCTCTTGATTCTGCTCAAATTCAAGCCTGAGCAAGGTCATCTCAAGTGGTTGAATGCACTCGCACAAGTTCTTAAGGGCTCCTCTGCTCTGGGCACTTGAAACGGCTTTGACTGGGTTTTCTATGTGCCGGCTCATCTCACACTCAGCTAACCCGTCAAAACTCGAAGCCGGGCAGTGTCGACTCAGAGCCCTGAGGTAAGTGGCTGGGAGTACGGGCACCGCCTCTTTGAGGACTGAGAAAGCCCCTCCCTGGCTTGTGCTGTTTCTTTAGTTCATGGACTTTGGCTTAGACGGCAAAGCTTCCCTGTAAGCAAGAAGCGCAGTTCGGGTTTGCATTGCACGGGAATGTGCTCTCTGGGGTTGAGGTGTTGGAGCCCGGGGCTATGCCGCAGCCGAACATGCCCAATGCTTAGTATTGCTTTAGTGTCTCTTCTTCAGTCGAAGTGCACTCTCCGGGTTGGCAGAACATGGTGTTTGACTCTGCGTCTCGGCTCCGACATCCCGAAGTTATTACCCTTGGTCGCCAAGAGTCAAGTCAGCTTGGGTGAGGGTGCTATGCAAGATGCCGTCCTGGTGCAGCACGTCATTCCCTGTGTAAAAATCTTTCCAGGCTCTGGGAAGACACACACTAGCCTCCGTACCAGAACCAGCGTCCGCGTTCCAATTTTTCTTTCGGTCCAGTGACCAAGATGGGAGGGCTGAAGCTCGGACCGCTGACCAGCCAAACTGCCATCGACGCCGGAAAAGGTTCGCCTGAGTCGAGATGACAGACTAGGGGTCGTTTGTGGTCGGGAGGACTTGCTGCTGTGGCGCAGCGAGCTGGATGCCGTGTGCTACAACTGCGCTGTGACAGCATGCAGACAAGGCATGCTCGCAGATTTGCAGTGCATGACGTTCAAACCTGCCATCATCACACCGGCACTCTTTTGCTGGATAGCGGCAGGCCAGCAGTGGGAGCAGGCTGTGGCACGCAGCGAGTCAAGCCGTGCAGCGCACACCACGGCCAGCCAGGCCCCATGCCTTTCCCCAGCCGGCCCTGATAGCTCAAAGCTTGCAGTTCCCATTCTGTGAGCGATGCAGGATCCGGTCCTCTTCGGTGGTGTGGTTTCCGTTTGCGGCCAAGGCACATCAGCTCGGAGTGGGCCCAAGATCCTGCACACTGAACTCTAGAATCCGCAACATGTTCTGAGACGCTGGAGTTTAGGTGGGGTCTCGCAGTGTCGTTGAGCAAGAAGGGCAGATATTCGAGTCGCAGACACTCCGAAGCTTTGCGTGAGGGCCTGTACATTGTGCCCGCTGCCCTTTGAACTTGCCACCTCTCTTCGGGGCCGATCAGTGTCCAATCGGGAGCTGCCCCAGTCGGTTGACCCTTGTTGACTATCATCAAGCAAAAGAGCTGCGATAAACCCTAAACCCCAAGAGCTGAACCCTCCCTAAACCCTAACAAAAGCCCCAAAATACCCGAAAAAACACCCTAAATACCAAAACAACTCTAACAACAGTCTAACAACCCTAAAAAGCCCCCTAACAACCCTAAACAGCCCCCGGCCAAGCCTTGTTTCCAGGTAGCGCTTGGCGTGCGGCCGCTGAGCTCCTCCGCTCTGCCCTTCGCGCTCGCGCGGAGTCCGACCTGGCGCCCTTGGCTTGGGGCCCTTGTTGGGGGGTTTCGGAAGGGGCACACGCGGGCAGTGGGTTCGATGGGGTTTAGGGTTTTAGGGTTTTAGGGTTTAAGGTGTTTTAGGGTTTAGGGTTTTAGGGTTCAGGGTTTAGGGCGTTTCGGTGCTTCAAAGTTGATGCGGCCTCGAGCTTTGAGTTCAAGCCGGCCAGACTTTGAGCTTTCCGAGTTTTGAGGGATGCCTGGGAGGTGCTCCTGTCGAGCGGATGCATGGCAGCGGAGAAAGGCCACCACCGTTTTTTTTGTTTCTGTTTCGGACTTCGGAGATTTTATGCTGCCCGCGGATGCTGGGGCATTGCTAGACTCCACCATGAAGCTAAATATGGGCTTCGGACCGCTTTGTGTTTGAGGTGGCCATTGGCAGGCTGCTCTGTGGACCCCGGAAAGAACGGCGGCTGCAGGGCTGCCGCAGGATGTGGCCGCGTGGCATGGACAAAACTGACTCCGTTCGACTAGCTTTTTCCAGAAACTCCGTCCAGAAAAAAAAAAGCCGGAGGTCCTCCGGAACAGCGTTCTGGCTGCTTCCGGGCACTGGCCGAGATCCCTGGGTCTGCTCCAGGAGGCGCAGCCAAGCCCAGATAGGGTTTGGAAAGTTTAGGCACTGTAGACTCAGGGTTTAGGGTTAGCTGGCACCTCCTCTGTTTTCAGGTTGAGCACTCGAAGCCCTCGTTTTGCTGCCAGTCACCGACGCGGGATCTTAGTTTTGTCATGCTACCCGGATGGTGCCAACGTGCTTTACTGGAGCATATTATGGTAGATGAGTGGATTCGCTTCGGGTGTCTTTCGCGGGACGTACTCGTGCAAAGCTGAGGGCAGGAATTCTTGGAGTTGCTTCTAAATCAGCAGTTGTTGAGGTGCCTGTATGGCAATCAATGGCTGGATCAGGGCCTCGACGATAACGTCTGCGCTTTTCGTCAGATTCGTCGGAGACCTGCCAGGAGACAGGCTAGAATTTCCGCTATCGTCGAGTTGCGCTCCATCGGACGGCTAAGTTTTGGCAAGTCTGCTTGTTGATGAGCTGGAGCCCTCTTGAAAACGCCAACACGACAAAGGGTCCTTTTCAAGATATCCGGAGTTTGCCTGTGCGGCAGCAAGCTGGAAAGGGTAAGCGGTCCCCGCGAGACTGACGGATGAAGAGTCCATCCTTCCGAAGGATTAGGATCTGAACCCCCGATCCAAGAGTGCATTTGCCAGAGTTACAACCAACAACCTGTAGTTGGTCGGGAACCCCAACAACCTAAAGACCATGTAACCTGCGACGAAGCCACTTGCTACACGAGCCGGACTGGTGGTATGTTTTTTTTTCCATGTGCGGTGGGTGGGATCTCTTTGTGGTTCGTTGGGATGGGCCTAGACTTCGCGCCAATGATTAGGAAGCTTCGTGCCTTCAGCCATGAAGCCGAGATCATGGAGCAGAGCAATTCTGCTTGATTCCGGGTCTTGAGACTTTAGGGGGGGAGCGTCTGCTTCTCAGAGGCAGAAAACACCACGATCGTCAGCTTCAGCGCTGTCCTCGCAGCTTGCGAGCAAGGCCACGGCTTGTGCGAGCGTTGGACAAAATCCGAAGCCCTAAACCTTAAACCCTTAATCCTGAAAGACACCGATGCCATAGACGGTGCAGGCTTAGGTGAAACTGCCGCGGCTTGGGTCATGGCGAAATAACAGAGTCCTGCACGTGTGAGAGCCACACAGCCGTTGCCGTGCCCTCTGACCCCGAAACTAGCCCACATCTGTGCCACCCTTGGTCTTGTCAAGTGTGTGTTCGTGGAGGTGGCCCACAATTGTAGAAAGAAGAACAGAGTTGCAGAAAACCTGTCGCCGTTGGTTTCCGACATCATAGACAACAAAAAATCTCGGCGTGACCGTGGAGTTCCCGATTGAGTTTCGTGTAAGACAGAAAGTCCTGTGTGGAGGTTCCGCTTGGTCTCCGGCACTGTTGCTGCTGCGTGGGCTTTCGCAAGACGGCTTGGAGGTGCACGCGAACTTGTGCTAGCTGCTAGGGCCGCTAGGGCTCACATGCCCATGCCCAGTACGGAGTTGGGAGCCCTGTGCGACATCTTTGTCCTCATTGTCAGCCCTGCCGCATTTTGGCATGGTTTCTTTTTATTTTTTCCGTCAGTCTCAGCTCAGTCTGGACTCAGAGTTTTCACGTTGCGTGACAGCCATGCTTGCGAAAGGTGAATTCCATCGCAATGGCGACAGCGGTGGATGCAGCCGTTTCAGCAGGAGCCTCGGAGGTATTCCGCGGCTCGTGCCTCGCGACACAACCCAAGCATCGTGCACAAAAAACCATTGAGCAACTCCCATTCGATTTCGAGGGCGATCAGTGGCAGCACGCGCTGGTGATGTTTGCCGCTTTTTGTCAACGAGGCCAGTGGTTGTTATGTGCCCAGATCGCAGTCCCGCTAAGCGCAAGTCTGCCTCGAGCGTTGAGACGCAACTTTCAGCCAACATTTACCGCAAACTTCTTGTCTCGGAGAGAGGCTTCGCTGTGGCGCATTCGAGCATTGTGCCTGTGAAGCTCCAGAGAGAGTTCGGTCCCCTTCTGCCTGCAAAAAGTGGCTTCGACCTTCAAGAGCTGCTGAGGTGTACACCCAGCATCTCCTTGCACGCTTTGCACATTGCATGCTTTTCCTCTGCAGGTGGTGAATGTGACCTGGCAGCTTGTGGGGCGCTTCTGGCAGCAGCTCTTCTAAATGAAACACCCAAGGCTGTTTGGTGCTGAAGACACTTCGCGTGCCGAATTCTGGATTAGCCTGCTGTTTCTTGCCAACTTCCCAACCCTACCTGTTTTGCCCGAGCAGTTCCAGAAGACATGTGATACTTCAAGACGAGGGGAGGGGTCGAAGGGTTCTACACAGGCTTGTTGGGTGCAAGAATCTGCGGTCCCCGACCTTGCCAAATGTCAAACCTTGCGAAATGTCAAACCGGAAAAGCCTAAACTACTTCAAACTAGGTTTTTCGGGTTCCGTGCAAATCTGTCAGGAGTGTGAGCAGTCCGGGACGCAAAGTGTGGAGGTCGACTTGCTCGGCTTGCTTGGTTTCACCCTTGGTGCGCCCAATGCAAAAAGTGGCTGAATTTCTCGCGGCTCGAGGAGCTTGAAGGAGGCTCCCCAGCACTTTCAGCTCAGAGCCCCGACATCTAGTTCGAAGTTGTCCGGCATCCAAGCGGAGAGAGGGAGGGAGAGAGCAGAGAGTCTCAAAGAGCCCCACACGGCGGTTTGCTGCAGCCAGCTGGTCCAAGCATAGCCGGCGAGCTCTGGAGGATGACGCAGAGCTGGGCACTTGGAGCCCTTGAGTTTCCGGAGAAAGCAAAAGTCTCTCTGGCCCTGAGTGGCTTTAACACTATCGCCATGAGCCTTTGCTAACTGACTAGCTTCGATTGAATATCGAAAGACAGGCGTCTTTCTTACTGCTGCTATTGCTTGTCTGATTATCGGTTGGTGTTTTGACACCGCTGCTGCCATGACCCGTGCCGCGAATAATACTTTGCCGTTGTGAACGTGGGTCTAATTTTGCGAGTTTCCACGTTACCTCTGTGCTATTGTCACTGCTTGTTTTTGCTTAGTGAGCTGCCAATGCCGTGCACTGGCACTTTTTCTGATACTCCTGTGGTTGTTTGGATCACGACGATAATGATCCTGGCACGCGTTCAGACTTAGGGAATGTCTATATCATGGATCCATTCATGACAATGTCACTATTCAGCCGTGCTCAGGCAACATGAGGTCGCTCGCCAGGGCTGTTGGCCGGAGCCTTACCTCTCACGCCCATAGCCATGGTGACCAGGCAAGAACCAGAGCAGCAGCAGTAGTCCCAGCAGAGACACAACAAATCTAGCCTCAATCGTTCTGATCGGAACGATTCTCAAAACGATAGTCCCTGTAATGCCATCCAGTGACAGCAGCAGTAGCAACAGGAAGAAGACCAAGCGCATCACCATGAATAACGGCTAGCAGTGTTGATAGTCTTTTATAACCATGCTTCTGCAGGTGGGCGTAGGGGCGTATCATACTGAGACTTATCAAAATATTTATGACAGTTATGGATTGCCGATGGTGATGGTGATGAATGAGGATGATGGTGATAATGGTGAATGATGATGATCAGGATGAGGATGGTGATAATGGTGAATGATGATGATACTGATGATGATTTTGATGATGATGGTCGTGGTGAGAATGAGGCTGAAAACGATGACGACGCTAGTGAAGCACCAAGCAGCACCAGCCACGACAGTATCACAATGCGAATGCAACAACCACAAGAGTAACACATTGAACCCGTAAAACACATCTAAAGTGGGTCTCATCCCGCTACACCGACAGACTCGCGGCATCACCCGAGGACTAGTGGCTTGCATTTGCGCTCCCCTCACATCCGGCGGAAGCCTTGGCATGGAACTGCCATCGTGCTCATGCAGTTTCAGTTTCTGTGCGCAAGACATGGGTTTAGCTTCAGGTACCGAAGTATTTCATTCGATTGGCACGCAGGCGCGCCGCAGAGCAAGACAGTTTGATCTCGAGTTTTGAGGTTGCGTAGAAGCTATTCACGCGCCGTTGCATCATGGCACGTGAAAGTACAAGTGTCCGGAGCCGGAAAGAAGTCGAGGGCAGAGCTTACACAACACTGAAAGCTTGAAGCCGAAGCCCTGACATTTTTTCACAGGGCATGGGTAGACTCTTCAATCCTGACCACGCCAGGCCTGCAAGACAGGTGAGGAAGATCTGACCAACCTCCTGCAGATCATCCCCGACTGGCAGCAGCAGGGCGCCAAGCGCGCACTCGTTTAGGCTTCTAGCGGACTGGGACGCCGAAGGCTTCAAGGGATCTGGGTGAAGTATGGACCGCTTTGGTAGACTCGAGTATCTGTGGACGTCGGTGTCGGGGTTGCCTGCTCTATTTTTTTTGTATGTCGCAAGTTGAGAACATGTAGATCGTGGCACGAGACAAACACTTCTGGACCAAAAGAAGAACCCGGCAAGCTGGGAATGTAGCTTTGTGCCTTTGCTCTGCTCTGTTGCAGGCTGTCCCATGAGTCCCACGAGGGCCAGCACGTCCACGCGGGCCAGCACAGTCACGAGGGCCAGGGCCACGCGCACGGCCATGCCAAGAACGCGGGCAAGGTTCGGGTCCTGGAAATGGGGAACTGCATGTGCGACTGGGCGATGGATGGCGAAGTACCTGGAGCCTGAGCCAGTAAACTGATGCAAGTGTCCTTCTCGAAGAAGTTTGGATCCGGGTGTGTGCGCATGCTTGGATTCCGAGATCTTTCTAGATTCAGTCAACGAACACCACGAGCCCGTGCTATTTGAGATTTCATGCACGGAAGGCCGGCGTGGCCGGCGTCACCTCGACCCTTGGCTGGTCACAGCACACATGTCTTGGTCCAGGCGTACAGGCTTTCTTTGCAGCGAGCTTGGCCTGTGATATCCAATGCTCTGCTTGGACAGCTATGAAGCACCTCCCAGATGTCCTAATGAGCAATGTTTGCGCTTGCAAGGAGGCGGATCTCACAGACACAGCAGAGCGCCCAGCTCCACGAGCACGGCACGGCGCAGACAAACAACTCGGGCAATGCTACTAGCAGCAGCGCCACAGCGAGCTGCGCTACTCGGCGGTGGTGTAAGCATAGGGCTGGAAACCGCGCCCGCAAGTCAGCACAGTGTCGTCCTGCTGAGTCTCAAGCTCAGGTGGATCTCATTCACCAGTGCCGCAACGACTTCGATTGGAACTCGTGCGTGGGTTTCGAGTCGCGCTGCTACAACGACGCAGCGAAGGCACCGCCGAAGTGGCAGATTGTGACCGCTAGTAAGCTAGTAACTAGTACGTCGCCAGGAGCCGAATTCCTCACCGTCTTACACACAATACCTCCACAGACCATAGGTGGGCGTCCGTGACACTGCCAGCCGTTCAGCCTTCGCAGCCAGGCAGTCCAGCTGATCCAAATTGAGACTCAACAGCTTCCTGGCTGCATCTCAGAGCCGTTGAGGTGACAACGGCTCCAAAAAGTTCAGGCAGCATGAAGTGGTAATTTGTTTGTAAGCGGATTTGGCTTAAGCTGGACCGAAGGTGAATTTGTCGGGGGCTTATTCCAACGGTTTAGTTGTCGTTCCCGCCGAGTATTCCATCTTCAACTGTCCATCAACCGCCCAAGATGTTTGGCCGATGGGTGTGCTGCATACACTTAAATATCCGGGCCTGTGTCAACATTTATGGTTTTGAGAATCATCCGGAAACGATGTCTCGGCGGCATGAGTGTCCGGTGCAATCAAAGCCGTCCGTGGAGCGCAGCAGGCAGCTGTTGATCCAGACGACACCGATACCCGGCCATTCTCCCCTTCCCGAGTGTTTGCTAAAGTACCATCCCTTAGTCACAGCAGATCTCACCAACTCCTGTGACAGCTTAGATGCCCAGAACTGTCAAGAAAGCTCAGGAGCCAAGCTTCAGCTCCGGTTGTCAGAACGAACTTGGATTGCGTGACTTGCTTGCATTCCTGCCGGTTTCCCGTACGCTGTTTCACGGTTCAGGGTTTTTCTGACTGAGAGTCAAGGGCTTTACCGTTTCAATGTCTTGGAAGATCCTGACATGAGCATGAGCTCTTGACAGCCACAGGGGTTCACAGCCTATGCTGGAGTCGGCTTTCCTGTTTGCTTTGTGGATCTTTGTGGGCTTTACCGGGGATGTTCCACTGGACAATCAATTCTACCCCCTGTTCCGGTGCCGTCATCGAGGACCATGCGGATCCAGAATTTCCGTTGTGTTTCTCTTCCAGCATCGGTGCTGTTTGTGTTTTCATGTAAATGCGTGCTTCAACAAGCACATACATACATCCATGCTTACATACATACATACATGCATGCATGCATACATACATACATACATACATACATACATACATACATACATACATACATTCACACTTTTTTTGATTTTCGACTCATGCATGCATACATCCACTCCTACCTTCATGCGCTCATACAGACATACTTTCATGCATACCTACCTACCTTACCTACCACCCACCCACCTACCCACCCACCCACCTACCCACCTACAGTACCCACCTACCCACCTACCCACCTACCCACCTACCTACTTACATACATGCATACATGCATGCATGCATGCATGCATACATAGATACATACGCACGTTCGTTCATTCATTCGTTCATTCATTCATTCATTCCTTCATTCATTCATATACCTGTGCATATCTATGTACTTACTTACATACGCTACAATACAGTACGTGTTGCGTTGAGTGCTGCGGGCATGCCAGCGGCTTTGCTGTAGGGCCAAAGCTCCTGCAACTTCGGAGGACACATGGAGCTTGCGATGCCAGAGCCAAGACTGGACAGCATGCCTTCACTTTGAGGACCACTGCCAGCAGGCTCAGCCGCCAAGAGATCTTTGCTCTGTTCAGGTCCAACTACCATGGCAAGGTGTTTCGATAAGTTCGTGATGGGACATGTGCCAAGTCTACAGACAGTTTGCAACTACAAGTCGCAGTTTTCGAAAGGATGCGTGCAGGACGAACAGCATTGACCCACGGCTTGAGCACTGTAGGCTTTCATGTCATGTGCAGATTCTTGGTTTGTTGGAGCATTGCTGGCCACGAAGTGCATCCTGCCGCAGTGGCGCCACGGTTTGATGTTCGCCGTCATGACTTGGAGGATGTTGTAATCTGTAATCCTCGCCTGGAAAGTTTATCCGAAATGAACCACCGTGAGCATACTGTACTGCAAGTTTGTGAGGCGTGCTCGCAATCTTCCGAAGGCAACATCATGCAGACCATGAGCCTTACAAGCTTTAATGCCTTAATCCTCAGAGCTCGCAACAAATCAGAAGCTTCGGAGGCTTCCCGGCGTCCGACACAGCTTTCGACCCCCGGCTAGGAGGATTCAGACCAGTTCAGAGCAGTTCAGGGCTTTGTGATTTGCACGGTTTGCATGTGTCCTGTTTCGGCTGGCATTTGTGCGTGCATTCGCAACGGTTTCCGGTATCGCAGCACTAGTCTACACCGCAGCACTTCGTGGTAGGATTTGACAGCTCGTACTTCTCGCGCTCAGGCTAGCCTTTGCCAGCAGCAGCCTATCGCAGCCGCCCCTCGGCGAAAAGCTCTCCGGGGAGGGTGCTTCGCTCTCTGGATGGCAGTGCTTGCTGTGGCTGTGTCTGAGTGGCATCGAAGCACGAAGAAAGACATCAGTGCGGAGAATCTGTGGTTCTGCGCTGCAACAGGACGTTTCAAAGTGCCCGACGAGTGGAGGAGGGACAGGACTGTGCAGCTTAGCTTGCATGGGCTTCGTCTGCCTCAGAGGGTTTGCCGAATAGTTGGCTTTCCGTTCCATACGCCTTTGGCTCTGTTCCCCTTTTTTTCTCCTTAAACGCAGTGGGTAGTGAGTTTGGAAAGGACCTCAAGTGCTTACATTATCATACGATCTAGCAAAGACTTGTCGCGCGATGGGTTCATAGGATCTGACAGGGTGTTCAACGCAATAACTTCTCCCAGGGAAGGCCTTGCCACCTCAAAGGGCTGGAGCAATGATCTTCGAAGCCCAAGCTTTTTTGAATCTTTCGAAGGTAGAAAAATCGCAGAAAGCTTCGGCAAAACGTAAGGTGATGCTGATAAGCTCACACTGATTGTGAGGTCGGTCTCAACAGCAAGTGCACCATTTGGTCACCATTTCATAATTCTCCACGACAAATACTAACTGGGACATCAGATCCCATCTACAGTCGTCCTTCACAACCGACAGCTCAGGAAAGCCTGATCTCGCAGTGCCGCAACAACTTCGATTGGACAGCGTGCACAAGCTATGAGGCGCAATGCAGCCGCCAGGCGCAGGCAGGATCTTTCGGAGTGTTCTGATCGGAGAAGACGTCACTCGTGATTGACCAGGGTACCGGACATGATCGCAATTTTTCTGTCACAGCGCTTGCTTAAAGGCAGAGCCCATGAGCTTGCAAGGGTGGACGCAGCGACGCAGTATTCTTAATCACAAGGACGACTAAAGCTACTACGGCTACTACTGCTAAAGCTACTAGTACTACTACTACCACTACTACCACTACTACTACTACTACTACTACTACTACTACTACTACTGCTACTACGACTGCTACTACGACGACTTCGAGGACTTCGACTACTGCGACTACTACTACGACGACGACTACTACTACCGCTGCCACGAGCACTAACACTGGCACTGCCACCACCATCATCACGACGACGACGATTACTACTACCACTACTACCACTACTACTACTACTACTACTACTACTACTACTACTACTACTACTACTATCACTATTATTATTATTATTATTACTACTACTACTACTATAACTACTACTACTACTACTAC